ATAAGAAATATTTTTTCCATAAATTTTAAAGGAAAGTAACTTCCCAGTTCCCACACAGAAAGCATCATCCTTTGCTTTGCGTGTCGTCTTAATACTAGATATAGTAATGAAGAAAATTATGCCATGGAAGAATTTCCATGAAAATTTTTTCAAGGGATTAATTCAGTGCACTTATGAGAGGAAGAGAACAATCTGCTTCCTTGAGAAGACAACCCAAGTTAGCTAAAAATACTTACAAGACAAGAAAATATTCTCAGAATATATGAGAATCCCAAGTTAATTAATTATTATTGTTTTATTAAATCATGTTACATTATGTACCATTGACATGTACAAGCAAAGAAACTACACTTTACAGGTTTATTACACACTGATTCATCCTCCTAGGTTGTAAGAATAGGAGGAAGATATTTGGATTTGAAGCAGCCGGCACAGAAGTCGTTGAGAAAAGAAGAAAGTTTTTCAGACTTGGTTCCGAGAACACGAGCCTTGGTGTCCGGGAAGAACTCCATACTCTGGAATGCAGTGACTTCTCCATTACTGGAGACTTCAATTGGATACCGGAGCAGGTGACCGGGGAGATCTCGGTCCAATGTATTTTTTGAATACATTTCCCAAAGCTCTTTAGCAATAGCATTCACTCTACGGACACATTCTGCTCTTTCTGGGTTCTGGAAAAGGGCGTCAATTCGTCCGAGGTGTTCCTGCCACAGTGACATCCGGAAAGCATAAATCTGACCCCTCGCCGGCTTGGTCGTTGCTAAATGAGACGGTTGAAATCCTCCCATTGCAATTTCGGTGTCCCTCCCGCCGTCCATTGATCTTTGGTTTATGTTCGCAGATCCGATGATTATATATTCATCATCCACTGCAGAAGAAACATGTTAAAATTTCAGAAAAAAAAAAAGAAGAAGTCAATTTAGTAATTCAGAAAAGCATTACTTGGTTCAATTTAAAGGGTTAACCGATGAGCCCTTCCTACCCAAATCATATCATAAAAAGGCGTACCCTTAGTAATTTACCTATCATCATCTTGGCGTGGACATATATCATGAACCGTCGTGCCTGCTGAGCTCTTTTATAATCAGAACCGGACTCAACCCGCACGGTTGGAACATATTCCCCGGCCTTCTTCGTCTCCCTGTTCCCAAGGCAGAAAAAGGTCAGATACTCCCTGGGATCCGTACTCTTTCCTTTCTTTCTAAGGGCTTGAACTATGTCCGAGTACATCATCTCCATTGTCCTTCTTTGCCAATCCAGAATCGCCTGAACGGATGCACTCTCTGGTATACCTTCCGGCCACATTGGGATCACGATGTACACCGCAAACCTCTCCCCTGATTCTATTTTACTAACAATCTTCAGGGAGAGCTCCTTCGGAATAAGATGCAGAGCGCCAACGTCCTCCTCGAGTTTGGGGTCTGGCTTCCATCCAAACGAGCTTCCGAGAAAGTACTGATTTTCGATGTAGATAAAATTCTTGGCTCTACGGATGGCATTGATATAAGCATCTTGAACGCTTCTCTCAAATACATCCTCTTTTCTTCTAACGAGGCCTAGTTTTCTCATGTCCTGATCGGAGATTTCGAAGTTTGAGACGGCTCCACTGTCAATTGATCGGAATATCTGGACTTTCCATGTTTCCACATCAGTCTTTTCCGTAACAGACGATCGGAATCTGCCACCACCTGTGATTGCCTGCAGCCTTTCTTCCGGAAATAGGTACTGTGGGTCGGTTCTTCCGGCTTGTTTTCTCCACCTGCTTTCAAAATTCTGCAGGACGTCCCATGCGATAGGACCTTCCAGCTTGCAATGAATGTCATGCCAAGGCTCCCTCGGACCGCCTTTTTCGATTGACGAGCCGCGGAAATTCGGCTGATGGAAATCATTCTTATGAACTGTATTCAGGGTCTTGAACAGGGGATGTTCCTGAAAATCATACCTTCCGTCGCAAAGATCAATGCCGCCAACAAAACTAACAATCCTTCGCTCTCCGGAGCCATCTCTGCCCAACTCACTGTCAACAATCAGAGTTTTCTGATGGTGAGTAAACATGGAAGCAACTTCAATCCCATGAATCTTCAGCCTCTCTTCATCATCAGGTTTCCTCGGACACAAAACACAATGAACCTTTGAACTACGAAAGTACTCCGCCGTCTCTTGATCATGAGTTGCCATTAGCCCGTCTCTCTTGAGCTCCTTAACAGAAGTTCTGTCATCCCAAACAAGCATAAGAACCTTTACACCCTCTTCTGCTTTGTCCTTGAGGAGTTGTCCTAATGTCTTATCAACTCCAGGCTTTGGCCTATTTCCATCCCTTACCAAGGTTATTTCAGTATAAACTGACCAACCCGTTATGTAAATGAAGTACTTTGCTTTACTGATAGCATCAAAGATGTCCTCCCAACATCTTTGAGGCTCATAATTTTTCCCACCGGGCAAAGTGATTAATGGGTCGAACTCATTTTGGACATGGGCATCCTGGTACAGAGTCACCCTGCATCCTCCTTCTTGTTTGAAGAAAGTGTGAGGAACTCCGGCGAACTCGGGGCTTTGTATTCCCTTTGACCAGTTGCTGTCCAAGGCAACATTGAAGAATTGTAACCTGACTTGGATCATTGGTTGTCCGAGGATAGGGTTGCGATCCTCGTCCACGATGTGGACCTGTCTGTTTACTACAAATCCGCTGATGGCATCTTCAACAGGAACATAAGCCCTTCCAATTAATGTTGCCCCAACAGGATCATCATCCTTGACTGTGAATATGATATGCGAAACTGTATGTGCGCAATATATCCGGAAGCTCTCGTTCCATCTAGGACCTTTGGGATCATTTTTTATCATCTTGGTCCGTGCAACCCTGGTTTTCTCTAGATCAACAGTGGCATAGAGTTGGGAGCCGAATTCCTATATCATGACAAAGAAATGTTAGAGGAATTTTTGAGGACTCAATGCGACTAATTATAGGATTTTAAAATATGCAAAAAAGGATGAAAATATATGAATACCCCATTCTGGCACAGCATGTTTTTCTTGACTTGATCTAGAATTCTTTTCCCCATCTTCCAAGGTCCAACTTCCTTCATGATGTGAGAAACAATGAGGGTGAGATAGGAAAATGTATGTCTAATTGGAGGAATATGAATTTAAACGAGATAGAGATCAAACAAGGACTGATATTCACAATGAAACAGTGGAATTTCAGAGCATGGTTTTTCTACATGGTTCTGTTTTCTCTGTGATGGGAAACTAATTGAAACATAGAACAATGAACTAAAAACCACAAATCAATGATGGTACCTTGTTGTGGAGGTATGTTCCCCAACCTAATTCTAGCTTGTTGATTCCAATTATCGTTACATCAAGAGTGCCATGAAGCAATTGTGCTGCCATCTTCACCTGCAGAGTATTTTGATGGAATCAAGATGCTACAGAGAATGATGCATTTATAAGTAAATGAAATCAAAAGGTTACAAGATTACAATAGGCTAACCAAAGTGAAAGTTGAATGGCCAAATTCCAAAATGCAACAATTGATGCAAAAGAGATATGGTGGACTTATGGATATCCCGCTTTTATGTACATCAAATGAGACAGAATCTCAAACATTCTTTCTTATGAGCTAAGAAAGGGATATGTGTGGGGAAAGAATTCAAAAGCAGTTCCTTGCTCGGCAACAGAGTTCTTCATTTAAAGGAGAAATGAGAATGTCTTTAGTTCCAAAGTAGAAGAAGGAATAGAATCCAAAGTTGTAAAACTAAAGGAAGAGATGAAGTCCATCACGTATTCAAATTACCTTTCGAATTTTTTAAAGAAACGAAGAGAAATTTGGTTTGAGTAAGATCTTTGCCTAAGGATGGTGAGTTCTTCTTTTCCATTTTCTTTGGAGTGGGGAGATTCGCAAACAAGACTTCCTTAGACATGAACGTTTTCTTAACAACTGGATGGATGCTTCATTAGCATAGTCATATTTAGGCATGAAACAGTTTGGAATCTGTTCAAATTAAACTTTGATTCTGGATAATCTCTTCGCTGAAGGGAAACCATTATCATAGTATAAGAAAATTGCAGGAAAGCAATTAGTTTATACTGAGGTTCCAAGAAATTTTTCATGAAATTGAGTTATTTTCATGGTGAAGTGAATTCTTTCATTGAAGGGTTCCTTGGATGGAATGAAATTCTTCTTACAATTCAGTCTATTTACTTTTAGTGTGGTTTTTTTAATTATTATTATTTAAATGTATTAAAACAATTATGTTTTTTTTTTTAAAACAATTATCATGGGACCAAATTAAACCATTGTCAGGTAAAATGGGTGAAAGGGGGATGAACCTTTATTAGAGTGACATGGAGGCCACTTAGGGTCAGGTTCAGAATAGTTCTGTTATTAATAATATATGCCCACTAAATTGATATTTTGCAGACAATCTTTAATTTTTCAACCCCACCGGCAATTAAGATCCATAGGATTTACTTGTTAGCAGAATAAGACAAAAAAAAAATACAGACATTTTGTACAATCGTTTTTTTCTTTCTTACTTCTCTTTTTTTTTTTTCGTCACATTCAATGGTTTATATAACATGATGTAATATAAGCGTGCTTAACCATTTTATGCCCTAAGTAGATTAATGAATGATAATCTTCTTCAAATAAAAGTGTAAATTACAGGATATGTAAATATGAAAGATTAAAAAATAAAAAAGATTATTTTTTGTATGATTTAAAATAAAAAAACTCTTTTTATTTAGATATTATGTATATCTACTTATTTAATATCTTATTATATTATACAAAGTATTAAAAAAAAATTGCAATTGTAACATGAATAATGCTATTCCGGCCGAATCCCTCCATGCCGACAGAAGGCCTAGCGAACGTGGCAGTCCCACATCCGTTTGATTCTGAGTTCTAAGAAAGGGCGTAACTAATTCAAAAGCACTCAAGTTTATAGAATTATAACTTTTAAGTCCCTATATGTAAAAGACATCATTTAAGTCCTTCAAATCAAACAAAGATTATTTTAATTTAGGGCATTAGGATTAATATTTTTGTTAGGGTTTAGTGATTGTAGTGTTAGGGATTAGATTATACTTTTAGGGTTCAAGGTTGAAGATTTAAAGTGTTAGAATTTAAATTTTTTAGGGTTTATATTTTTTAAAATTTGATATTTGGGCAATGTTAGTTTATGATTTAGATTTTTTAAGGTTCAATAATTAGACTGTTAGGGTTTAAATTTTTTTGGATTAAATATTTAGGATGTTAGGATTTAATATTTAAAGTGGAAGGATTTAAATTCTTTAGGTTCTCTATTTTATAATATTAGGATTTAGACTTTTTAAGTTATATATTTTATGATATTAGGGTTTATATTTTTAAAGTTTAAAATTTAATATTTAAAAGTTTAGATATTTAATAATTTAAAAATTAAACTTATAGGACAAAAGTAAAATTTAGAATTTAAAATTCAAGAGGAAATAAATAAAAGATCTACAGGGACCAAATGGCTTGGAGACCGATCGGTCCCTGTAGCACTACTGTTATAACATTATCATTATCAAACAGGATCATTTTCATTTTATGGTATGGTTACAATTTGAATGCTTCCCTTTCAACTATTATTTTCTTATATTATTAGTAAGGATTATCTTAATATTCTTGAGACAGACACAACAAGATATGAATGTCCTTTTTTTTTTTTTTTGGAACTAATACAATTAGGGAGATCAAGAACAAAAATTGTTAAAATTTAAATCTTAAATTCTAAATATCATCACATTTCTTTAAAAAAAGAATTTATGAGCATTGGATACGATGGTGGTTGGCTAATGTTTTCATACCTAAAAGGAAAATGTAGATTGTGACCTCCTTTAAGAGATAACGGAATTTATTATTATTATTTTTTTTGTGTCGAATTGCTTTTGTTGAGAATTTTAAATTGTGTGTATGAAGATATTTAGAAAAACAAAAAGAGAGTGCTATTCCATGTTACGTAAAGTTATGTGAAATTAACACCTAAAAAATGATAAATAAAAATATGTTTATATATAAATTTTATATTTTATATTTATATGAAACTTTAATTATTTATTTTTTTATTTTTAATATTTAAAATTTATTTATATTTATTAAATATAAATATTCATTT